GCGCATTACAATCCATTTAGTAAGTTTTCCTTCATGTTTAATAAAAACTTCTCTAGCTTTATTGACAGTGGTTGGAAGAACGTTGTTGTCAAGACAATGTGGGAAATTTATGGGAAGGAAATCCCAGATATGCAAGTGAAAAGGTTTGTGAATGATGTTTACTTCTTTTACGGCATTCATTTTACGATCTTCCTGACGAAAATTCAGTTCACCATGTTATATCTTTTATATAACATATGCAAATCTTTCATTTAATTGCATTCAAGTTAAATACCATTTGTAAACTTGGTCATTAAGACTCTTACAGTTTTTATTAAAGCATAAATGATATTATGTTACTTATGAATTGCTTAAGCAGAATTACATTCCTGTTCCAGGATTGAGAAGTTGGAATTGCTGGATGAGAAGATCTTACTTTCGCAGCTACTTGAACACTACTGCTTTGTTATTGCTTCAAAAAATGCTCATACTCTTGACTTCGAATGGACAAAATGATATGTTTCCAAAAATCTTTTTAAAATAAAGGGAAAGAAAGATTATAAAGGCATAAAGTCATAACTGGGAACTAAGATCAACGAACAATTGCCTAGCGGGACTTCAAAATCTGTTAATTTATTAATTCCAAATTTGTTCTAAGTTTGTGTATGTCTTTTTTGGTTTCATTTTTATTCGCGCGTAAGTATTATGGTTTCCGATTTTTTAAAAAAATGATTGACAGTTTCGGAAATGATTTCCGAATAGTTTTATGTAAAAATTTTCGTCTGTATAGCTTATTATATAAGCTACGCTTTGGCTCAAGTTTGCATACTAAAAAAATGTGTCTTTTTCTAATATTTTTCAAATATCGTGAACAATTTACTGTCTCTATCGGACTTGGTTCTAAATTTTTTGGAAATCATGCAAAATTGTCCATCTCCAGGGGGCAAAACCATTCGTACGTGAACCATATTTTCGTGTTGGAAGATTTTTCATGCAAATTTTCCTGGTGTTTCCAATGCACGAAATAATATTTTAATTGCAGTTGATATGTCATCTAAACAGTTTGCTCTTTCAGTACTTTCTTCCCACATTCTTGATCTTTGTGTAGTGAACATGGCAAACTATTAAGCATTAACATACTATGAATGGAGTTAGAGTTACGCCAAGTAACAAGGACAGTATTACTTCATTACCTAACTTCGAAACGGATTATTGGAAAGAAAGAATTTGATTATATAGGAACTTTATAGGAAGATACTTGACATCTGCAACTATTATCGTGTGAGCAAATTTCCTCATATGTTGTTTGAGGATGAGAGAATGCGAGAGTCTTATTTTGCAGAAATGAAGTGAACATAGCTAATATTCACTTTCAAGTCAGTTTTCTTGGGGCAAATCAGTATGTTTCTGAACATAGAGTGGACAGAAGAATTCCAAAATTTACTTCATCGTGTGAAGCCGAAGAACACAGAAATTGGTAATGGCAATGGCAAACGTACGCCAATCCATTTATGCTTTTTAAAAAAATATTTTTCAAGTCTCAGCAAATTGTTTAACAAGAAATTTGCCATACACAATTTGTCGATTTGGATGTGCATAAGCCTTTAGATCAGCCGAATAATGGCTCTATTGAACTTGATGAATCCACTTCGAAATGCAATGTTTCGTTGCGAAAGATGGCGAGGGATATTAGAAGCGGGATAATGTTTTTACAAAATCTCGCATCACTTTAAATCTACATTTCAACCTACTAAAATGTTTCACTTTGCGGGAAATTGTTCTTCCCTATGGATGAAGCTTCATAAAATGTCGGTCCTCGACTCATTCATTTGACGTCATTGTCATTGTCAGCTCATATGAATTATGAAGTCTGAGTTTTGAAATCTTACTTTATATTTCAATAAATTGCGTGGGATTATTTTTTGGCATTTGAAATAAAAGATTTTCTTCTTTTTACAAAAATACTCCTTACGATAGTGGAATGAATGATCAACAGAGATTTCATCACTGGAGTAGGAAAACTGTTCAAATAAGTCGGAACTCTATTCCGAACAAATGATTTCTAATTGTATTTTGCTTGATGCTGTTGACGGTGAGAAAATACAGTAAAAATAAATCGTTCCATTCATTTGAAATATACTTTTTCAAGTTCTCAATTCTCGGTATACAAATTTTTTTCAGTTGCCAACAACAGATATATTACCCTCTGAAACAATTTATTGACCACAAAAGTAGTTCAGATTCTGATTGCAGTTACAGTGAATTTTTTATTGCACTTATATGTTCTGGAAAAAAAATTTTAATAAGGTACTCATTAACATCTTCCCGAATGCAAAATGCTTATCTAATTGTAAATATTTTATAATGAAATGCATATTTTGCTTTTTTATATGACAATGATGATGACATCGATGAAATGATATATGAGAGTATGTTAAGTCGAGAATATTGCGCGCAATGTGGTTGCAGAGAAATCGTAGTTCTAATAGTTAAATGTCGATCAGATGCCATCAACTACTGAAATTTCATATTTCTATTATTTTCTTGGACCGTAAGATTTTTGTACTTTTGGCTTTTTGTTTTGTAGTCAGATAAATTATATAATGGTTCGAATATACAGAATTCACTCCGGTTATCATTCATTGTCGCTGTTAACAGTTTGTTTAGCATTCTATATTTAATAATAAATTTTTATGAACAAAAGCATTTAGCATACAAAATGAAAAGTACCCTTACGAGAAAAATTGATGCAATATGATCTACGGGAAAAACTGATGAAAAATATTAAAATGATGAAACAGATGTTTGAACTAATGCAGTGAATGCGATATTCATTCATTGCATTAGTTCCTTTAAGTAAGAATATGAAAGTCATATTATTTGTTTCGAGATTGGTTGCTATATTGTATGCTCTCCACAGCCACAGATTTGTTCTTTGCAATTTTAATTTCAAATAAAATTTTTATGGCAAGATTACATCTTTTTTTTTTGTTTTATTGTTTCATCGATTCTTCCACTATAAACTTGAACATAATAAAGAAGCAGTTTGGAATTCTATTTTTTGAAGAATTTATGTACATTCAACAATGGGCTGATAAATTCTATTAGTGTTGAAATGAATGAAGACTTTTTCAAACTGCAAAATAAAGTAATTAAGATGAATAAAATGGACGCCAACATCAAAGTGACTGCACAGAGAATATGAATTTTACATAATGCTGACTTTTTTTTTGATTGAAATGGTTAGTTACTGGTATTTTATTACAAATTCAATTCTTCAATGATCACTTTTCTGCTTGTATCACGTTCTTCCAATCGTTCTTCCAGTTCATTCGCAATGTCACGGTGCATGGTTATTGTGTGTTGAAATGTGGAATGAGATATGACGTAATTACAATACTGTTAATTAAATAATGATTTTTAACCAGGAATTACTAAATTATTTACACAATTTTTGTTAGCCATTCTATTAATCTTTTTCAAAACGGAAAATAAGATGGTAATTTAATTTTTCGTTGGAATAAAAGGCAGCAATTTAATATAGCTATTTATTTAGAATCTACATGAAAAGAAAGATTTTTAAATTCGTTTTGTAGATTGTGGTCTTTTAATCATGTAATACATCACACAGATTTGAGAATAGCGAACTTTCGTATATCTTTTGATTGATTTTTTAAAGTTCCATTTCAGGTTATCAGTAACGATGTTAGAAAACAGGCTGAAGTTGTTGGTTTTGCTGATATTATTGCAATGTCCTTCTGTTTTTTTTCCATTTGCTGATCAGGTGGATAGCCTGCATAAGCTTGCGGTATTTTCTTTATGGAAATAGTGGCTTCAAAAATTATTTTAATATGTTCTCTTATCACGATATCGTCAGCTGTCTTTAATCTCCATTTTAAATATTTAATCAATATGGATCATATTGATTATTTTTATAGCTGTTATGAAATAGGCAGTTATGTGTTTGAAAATTAAAATTGGACATAATATCGAACTGTCCTATGCAACTTGCCCAGTTTTTTTCGGATTCGTAAACCGAATGTTGGGGATTCCGACTCAAATCCACAATCTAGTACTGTAATCATATGAAATCGTGCTATTGGAGTAGTCGAGAATCATTTAATCCTTTTATTTCTTATATCCGATTGGCTTGAAATAATAGGTAAATCTTTGTATAGTTTAGGTGTATGTTAGTTGTCCTTAGTTCATTTACCAACTTTACTGAAGTTTATTCACAATCAAATGGATTTCGTTGTTGTAGTAGAAAAACCATAGTTTGCCGCTGTAGTCATTGAAGTCGCAATCATTGATTTTTTTATTTCATTCGTAAAATTCTCGTTTTTGTTGAGGTTAAAATTACTTGGAAAATTACTTTGTAGACTTCACAAAACTATCGCAAGCTAGACAAGTTTGCATTAAAGTTTTCTGTGAAATATTATGAAACTAGCCAGAGAATAATCTAACTTATTACAATTACAGTAGTAGTTCAGGTAATCCTTATTATGACAATCGCAACAATCGCAATACAGCAGTTAATCTTCGTATAGTGATACTGGCCATAAAAATAATATAATCCGTAAAATTCTTGTTATTAATAACGTTATTAATAACGTAAAATTCTCGTTATTAATAAAATTATTAATAACGATTATGATCTTAGATCAGAAAAATTGAACAAGCGAATAATCTTGCAGAAATTGTCTAAGTGAAAATTATTACGTCTCAGGTCTCCCTTTAGCTCACCCGAGATCTCTCTGAGACCGAGATCCTGGTCCCACACATCTAATATACGAGAAATATCAGCGATATCAACAATGTTGAACCTGTTTCCCTGTTACTTTTCTTTTTTCTCTATTTTTGTCATTCTTTTTTGCTTTTTTATCTTCAAATCCTCTTTATAAAACTGGCAAAAATTTCCTTTAAGAACCTATGAGATATCGAGAATCTTTATTTGAATGAATTGAGAAAATGAAGCATAAGTTGTGATATCGTAGAGAGCAAAAATATCGCCAATAATTATGAAGATAGATCAAGGTTTGAATTCCTCTTATTCACTAAATCAGATTTATTTAGTATTTAATTTATTCATCAGTCATCAAGACCAAATCAATAATAAGTGCAGTAATGAAAAGTGCAAGTAACACTCTCGAAATTAAGAATAACAGGGACCAAAAACTTAGCAAAACTGAATTTGAACTGAGACATTGTCTGCATAGAAAGTGAATTGAACTTGAAAGTAACCTGGAATGAAACTGAATTGTAGATTGAAATTGGTCATTTGGCTGCTTTTGGCTGGCATTAACCAATTTGTTTAATGACTGCATCAAGTTGACACTTCACAAAGTAGTGCCTGCTGAGAGGAAATGTCTCGAACAATGGAAATAATGCTCAAGAAAATCCACTAACTCTCGAACACCATAGATCATTTGTTGTCATATTTTTATTTGTCAAAATAACTAATGGAATTTTATTCATTTAGTAAGTCCATTATCAACGTTATAAAGTGAAACCAAACACACAATAATAGTGACAATGATTGACTTTAATGACTGACTTTACCGATTCCCCTTTTCTGGATTACCGTTTAAAATTGTCTTACCGCGTATTAAAAAATTTCTGGTGTAAAAAATTCTGTAATGCGCTATTAAGACATGGCATTTTAAAATCCGGAATGGGACTTAGCACCTATTGCTTTCCATCAAAATTATCTATTATTAATTCAAAGCACTACTGATAACTCTTCGACATAGTTCCAAACATTTCATCTTTTCCTCGAGATTTAATCCTGAATTGGATTGGAGAAGTTTGAGATTTTGTTATCCCTGAATAAGTTAAATTGAAAATTTATGATGCCACACTTTTGAATTTAAAGGAATCAAATGAGTGCAGAGATCGCTTGTATTATTTAGAAATTTAATTTTGTCTGATTTAAAATAAATGTCGAAATTTTTTAAGTTGATGGGATGAAAGATGCTTTGTTATTCCGACAAATCGATATTTAGCTTAAATTCCAATTTTTTTTTAAATGCCTTCCGTTGCATTTTGGTCTTTTTTGGCTAATCATTATCTATTCATCATTCATTTAAACAAAGTGCAAAATGAAACTAATTGCACATGAAAATATGCCCACAATACATACACCTTTATACAAAATAGGCTACCACTAACGGAATTATAACAATTTAAAAATAATGACTTTACATCATTCTTGAATTTGCTTCTTCCCTTAAACTGTCTTCTTTCAAATTTCATGGTTTATATTATTAACTTATTTTTTGCTTACCCTACAGATCATCCATTCACCTTTCCAGCAGTTTTCCCGATGCTATCCAATACATTTTATGATGAAAAGGATTATAAATAACGCTTATGAACCTGTGCTTCCTGATGCTTTTCTTGCTTCTAGAAGGATCTAACTGGTCTTGGTCCCACAGAAATTATGAGTGACTCGCATATTCATTTATTGAAGTTTTTATTTCTCGGCTCTCGGGAGTATCGGGAAGATTGGAAGGACTAGTTCATAACCTTTCTCGATGGATTAGAAGACGGGGAAATTTCATAGAAAGTTTAACTGAGCAATTAAGTTTAATCAAAGAGGACATGGTCCACTGGTAATTAGATAGCTAAACAAATGTCCACACTCTTCACTGGCCCACTCCCATCGATCGTCATCTCGCAATACGTAATGCATCCTTCAAAAGATCTCAGTATCTATTCGAAATTTTATAAAACAAGAACAAGATTTGAAGCCTAGAACAGTTTAACAAATAATAAAATGATAAAGGCAGAGAGTACCTGGTATTAAAGTCCACCACAATTCCATTAATGTTGCCACTAAAATAGTAGACTTCTCCAATTTTCGGTTCTGCACAACGAATGTTACATGTTCTCAACCATACCTCAATTCGATCTGCAAAATAACTGTAAAGATTGACTGAAATGAACCTTTTTTTAAAATTTGAAACGAATTTTACATTTCGTTTGAACTAAACTGACCTCGAGTTTCTAAGTCTCTTCAAAGTTCCTCAACTCACGAATATAAATATGAATTTCGACAAAATTTTTTGCTCTTCCATTAACTATTCTTTATATCTTATTTAGTAGGCAAATCGATTATGAAATGCTGGTTTTTTTATTGAAAAAAGGACAGCTTGCATTTTATATAACCGAAAGAAATTAAAACTTACATTTGAAGGAATAAATTCCACAAAGAAATTTCTAAAAGTTAAAGTCCACACGGTTTTTCTAAAGTAATTTAAATGAATAATTTCTTCAGGATATATAGATCAAATCCAAGTAATACTACCAGGTTTCTGCAGTACTGTCTTCACATTGCTTTGCTTCCAGTGCTTTAACGATACTTCGATGATGAAATAACCCGAATCACTCAGGTTTTCAGCCCGATAGTTTTCTACTTCCACTGTTGCTCCTGCAATATTTAATTAATTTATTCTAATAGAATTTCGGGTTATGTGTTTGTCTGTTCGAAATGACTTGGTGATTCAATTATTTTCGATTTTTTTTTTTTTTGTCATCAAAAGAGCACACGCAAGTGAAAAGTTCGTTTTAAAATAAAAAACTTGACAAACCAAACATGTTTTTTGAACAGAGTTCATGCTGCAAATGCTTCTTTGTAATACTTCGACATTGTGAGCATCGAACTGTGCAACTGGCTTCAGCACATGAACAACTTCCATCCCAACATACCATATCGATCGTTTCCTCCAGAAATGATCGCTTGAATCTTTCCATATAAGTCACTAACTCTTGACCGGCTATATCTGCAAATTTACTCTTCAATTATTCATTTTATTTTTTGATATGGCATTTGTATACTGTGTGGTAAAAATTCTTCCAACACTTTCTGCCACTGTATGATGCTTCATCATTTTTATAAGTCAATAGGAATAGAAAGCTATTTTCCACCGAAATGCAAGATGTTCCAAAACCTCACGAATACATTAGACTTAGAAAAGTTGAATCTAATAATATAGCTCGAACAAAACTTGAACTTGCAACAAATCGAACCAGGCGCTAATATCGCGAAATCGTTTTTTGCTAAAAAATAATTGTCTTGAAAGAACTACAGCTAACCATAAAGAGGATGCCGGACAGTAATTGCAACGGGAGCCAATTGATTTGGCTCGTATGTATTTCTTGGCTCCATTATCCTCAGTTCATAGCAAAGCGGAATTTTCGGTTTCAGCTAGAACTAGTAAAAGTTTGACAAATTGTTAGAATTTTGAAATGCTGATGACTTCGCGAAACTGAAAAATATTGCGGGATTTCTAATGAAAAAAAAAACTTGAAAAAACTTACATCGGTGAGGACGAAATGTACAGCGTAATTGCTGACTGTAACGCTATCCAGTAGACGGACTCCGTATAGAGTTGTATTCTATAATAGATCAGCAAAAAGATTAGATTGTCAAAATTCGATTTTTTTCTTGTTTGATTTTATAGCATTTGAATTTTTGATTCCAACTTTCATTTCTCAGGATTCGTAGTTCTAAATAATGGATTGCGCAATTCAAGTTTTGCTAATAATCATATTCCTGTTAATTCCAGCAAAACCAATAAACAACTTAGTGAGGGACTGATTTCTTTGTAATCATCTGTACTTTAAGTTGAAAACCCTATAAGTTGTGTGCAATTAACCTGGAGAATCCGGAAAAGACTGTCTTGAGAAGTGAAACCGGTAAAAAGACCGTGTGTTACTTCCAGCGATTCAATTAGTGATGTTAGAATCCTGGAATCAATTGTACCCTATTTAGGATTTCCCATTAAGTATCTTAATCACCGTACTATCTTCAAGCATTTTTTGTCTGTTACCGATTTAATTCAAAATGCGGAGGAGTTAATGTAATTTCTATTTTCTTCTAAGATCAAAAATTTTCTTTCTACAATAGCGTTCTGAAGGCAACAAATTTCACCAAAAATTTGAATCAATATCTGAGGTAAGTTAACTAGTTTAGATGCGCTTACTTCAAGCAAACTTCTTGTCGAATGATTCCCGGACTGATTACATCTTGCACCACAGAGACTTTGGTGGGATAGAAATCGTTTTGCTCTAAACCACGGCGCAACCGCATTCTTTTTGTAGTTAGAACTCGGATTCCTGTCCGAACTTTTGCATTTCCTTCCGTTATCAATGTTATATTACGCACCGTTACCGGCAACTACAATTTTCTAACACAACCGTTTTGTTCATTACTTTTCTACCAAGATATGACATTCTCGCAGAATCTGCTTAATATTTGATAAATAGTTGACTGATATTATACGAAAGTTTGAAAAAAAAATTAAGAACTTGATTGTCCTGTTCATAACTGTCAGCTATCTCATTGAACGGTAATAACGGTTTAATTTCAATCTAGAGCTGATCGATCTAATGTGGCACTAACATTTTGGGCCTTAAATTACAGGAAAACGAAAAAAAACTTTGGGAAGAAGAATAATGAATAATCGAAATATATGAATAATCAAAATTGAGAGAATAAGAATTTAAAGGAAAGGAAGAGGGATTCCCATTAGAAGACAGTTGACTTACCTTGTGAATGATGACATTATTATGTTGATAAAATGTACTACAAAGTAACAACATAAATGTTACTTTTTTACTTCATGACACTTACATAAAAAACAGTCGGTGTGCTCGTTACATTGTGCACTATCAATTTGCATTGTTTACAAATAACCGTTACTCGATCATGATTACTATCACGTCGGTTCGTTTTATGCATTCGATACTCATAAATTGCTCGATTTGCGAAATATGCATCCTGAATTTGTCTTGAAATTTCAGACGTAATAAAGAAATGGATAATTTTAATTTTCACGTTACTCTATTTTGGACTAAATGAAGATTGCAAACCAATGCGAACGGAGTATGCCCATCTTCGTTTAGTTGCTCGTAGATCCAGTCAGCCAATAAATCGAGTTCAATTAATGGAAACATCGGATCCACTCTGCGACTTAAGAATGCCAACAAACCCAGCGAATTGACCAGTAAATCACCACTCTTAAAATACAAAAACATTGAATAAATTAAAACTCAAGTCTTACTCAAGTCTTATTCAAAATTTCAAATCGTGACTAAGCTACTATGACATCTCAAAAGAGTCAAACCTCCAAAACTTATTTGAGCAGCATAAAAAATTGCCTTTCTCGACATATCCTACTATCACTGCACATCCTATTTTCATCCTGTTTTAATTAGTTACAGCCAATTTTTACATGCTGAATACTTGAGCTCCTTCCAAGAAAAACTGCAGTAATTTACTTGAATTACTTTTTGTAATTTAAAAAGACTTAAAATGAAGTTTCGATTGCACGAAATACTGTTCACAGATTTTTCGTTATAAAAATAATGAATAATGAATAACCATGAGAATTCGATGTTTCATATGATCGCCGAATCCAGATCGAAGTTTTGCCAATAGTGAGCCATCATCCGACATTTTTCCAGTTGTCCAATACGGAAGCATGCCATCTGCAGTAGTATTGAACATGCTGGGGACTTTTTAAATTCAAAATTCTATTAATTCCCACTCATAGTAATTATTTAAAGTAGAAGTTTAAGTATGCTTTTGTGAATTCATTAACAACTATATATTTATCTCACGATGTGCAATTCAACTACATACCAGTCGAAATCTATCGAATTTTCCTACTTTCTCCTTGATCTAGTGATTACAGTAATTGGGTGAAATCTAAATCAATCTTACCCTTCGCAGCAGAGTACAGCTTAATTCGCATGATACTGCTCACAGATCGTGGTGCCATGAACGCTAGTGCAGCGACAGTACGTATATCCAGTGCGGTATGATCTGGTAGATTGAAGAAGCTCTTCCGTAAACTAATCCAAACGCGGTCATTACGCTGCAAATAAAAACTAGCTAATTTCTAGTGTTAATTTTATTCTGAATTTGTTAAACACTGAGCTGTTTTCTTAACATACTTTAAAAAATAAAAGATTTCAAGTCTATTTACCGCACATTGGTATGCCATACAGTCAGAAGCCAGTTGATTTACTATTGCTTTGATAAGCCAATACCCATCTTCCACCGTTGTCTGAAAAAAAGATTGGAAGAAAAGTGAAAGTAAGAAAATTGCAAAAAACTAAAGATTTCACCTTTGTTAATCAAGTTAAAAAAGTAAATCAAGGAGAGAAGAAATTAGAAAGAAGCCGAATTTGATTTCAGTTTGTTAAATACTGATTTGAGAAAAAAAAATGGAGAATGAAAAGTGTGCCATGGATAGCTTACGAAATTCATATGGTCCAAAAAATAGTCCATTGGAAGCTGAGTATCCGTATCTGTTGCCATTTCATTTAAGAGATAAGTAAGCAGTGGACACACAATTCGCTCATCAACAGCGGCTTCGCAAAGCAGCGATGTAGATAGCGCCGTCAAACTAAAACTTTGAAAATTAATAAACCTGCTGAAATCAACTTTGTGGTAAGTTTTATATCACGAATATTATTAGGAAGATGATCAAATCTGATATCAGTGCAGGAAGATACATACAAAAACGATTCTTCGAGGGGCTGTTTTGATTTTCGATAATTGGAGAAAGCGCATGATCGAGAAGTTGCACCATGACAGCTGGAGAATGTCAACATCGCAGACATTACTGGAATTCAGAGAGCGCCATCGATTTAGATGATCAGCTTAGATGATTGTCTGTGAGTATCTCACTAAAATTAACCTACTGAACACTAACGATTTCTGCTTATCTTTTTCAACCTCTAGTTAAGCAATTAAAGCAATCAGTAGTTTGAATTAATTATGTACTTTATATGCGCACTCTACGATGCATTGATTTTTAGTTCAAGAAAATAATTATCCTATGCAAATTACTTGAAGTAGCGAGCATTGGGCACTTAAAAACTAGTGTTATTTTCCTTAAAAAAGTGAATAACCTACATGATCCAATAGCGTCATCTAAAGATTCAAATTCTTGATAAGTCTTTCTATCAAGAGGATTTAATGATTTGAATTGATATAATGCTGGAGCAAATGAACTGATAACATCAGTAAGGAATGATTCATAGCTCAAAACACTCCTTTTCCAACGATAATTAGATCGTGAACTTATTTCATTCCGGATGATCGGGTCTGTTATTAGTCCCTCTGATAAGAATTCTGAAAAACGAAACGATACAGCGACGAATTTTTAATTGAGAGGTGAGTGAGAGAAAATATCAAAATTGGTCAGTAATCAGAAACAAAACAAACGGGAAAATTCGATAGTAATGCTATAGATCGATTCAGTGTTAGGTAAATTGATGCTGATGTTAGCAAATAATTTCTGGGGTTCCTGCTCTGTTCGATATTCATTATAATCTAAAATTTGTAGTTAATCACAATTGTTGAATATTGAATATTAAAATAACGACAAATATATTAAAACAGTAAAAACAAATCATATCACGTCACCAGATTTTAAACTGATAAAATCTCATATTTCAAGTACCAGCGATCCCTCTCAGTTTAAAACAGGTGGGATCTAACAATGTTCTGTTGCGCGAAATCCGATCCTGACATAAAGAAAGAATTGTTTCTTCATTACCAAAGATATTTTTCTTTCCATTCCCTGTTTCATTCTCCATCATTAAATAATGTACGTTAACAGTGTGAGCTAAAAGATTAAGTGGTTTGCGTGGATTCAATACCAATCGTTTAAAATGTTCCGCGGTTTCCGCCCTTTTCTGCAAATAATAACTTGTCATCTGTGCTGTGAGAAAAGTTCAAAAGATACAAAAAGCCGTAAAACAAGTACTGTTGATCGGTTTACAGAGAAACAAATTTTCCTCTTAAATATTGAGTTTACAATTAACTTACAGCAACGATAACTCTTAATTTGACAGCGTCGTATATTTCCCCTACATCACAATGATATCGTCCCGGGTACGATATTTCTTCTTTCAACGTGAACATAACTTCTGTTTCTCCAAGGCGCAAAAACCTACGAGGTGTGGACTGTTGCAATGAGAGAAAACAGAAAGATTGATTGAAACGAAAAAAGGTATGTAAAACATGGTACTGATATAAGTAAGGTAAAACTAGTGGATGAAAGAATGAATGAAGTGAAAATTAACTTACCTACTGATTCAATACAAAACAACCGTTGAAATGAAAAGAGATAGATCACAGGAACAAAAGGAAACAAACCTAAGGGCGAATATTCTGGTAGATGTTGTAACTGCTGCTGTAAGATGAATTCGAGTGTAGGCCGGTTGACCTCGTTCACCATGTGCTCCCAGGTCACCGCATACGTGTCGATCCAATTTCGCTATGCAAACCGAAAGCTTTAAATAATTTACGAAAGCTTTAAATAATAATTTACTTTAAATAATTTTCAAATAATTACGAAAGCTTTAAATAATTTAAATAATTACATATTTGAAAATATCATTGTCCTTGAAGTAAAATATAGTTATGTTATCACACTATACATGTGACATGTTATTCTGGTATACAATGCATGTTAAGTTTTAAAACTCTTTTTCTCCTTTTTTAAAGTTCACCATTATGTCCTCTTTTATTTGTTCAGCAAAAACTGAGACTCGTGCGGTAACGGATTCATTGATATAAACGTGTTGCGGAAGATCGACTGTCATGTAGAGTTTTTGCTGCGTGGATATAATCGATGGAGCACTGTGACAAACTGCAAGATCACCCGGTGTCCATGCTGAAGACTGGACAGACCATTGGGTTACCGTGTCTGGTGCTCTAATCGTTAGATTTAGTCTACCTGAGGCCCTGAATGTTAAATAACAATAGTTTAAAATGGCTGTTATATTCAACGGAATAAAGTATTTCAAATGAGTCAGGAGTAAAATTAGCAATGCATTGTAGGACTTCAAATTGAGAAATAAATTTTGTTCGAAGGTCTTTATATTAGCTTTCTTGGTGAAAGGCAAGGAAAAGAAATTCACGAATTCAGATCATTCTTTTTTCAAAAGAAAATTGAGGAACCTAACCTCTCGGATAGCATTTCTTAATAAAAGCATATATTTAATGCAGCTTTCAAATGTAAAATGTTCCTGCTGTTTGGTTACTAAATACTTTTTATGGTCCGAAAAAAAAAATCCATAGCGTAGCTAATATTTTTAACTTAAGAAACTTATAATGAGGAAGAAAAAAATTCAAACCCGAGATTGTAGTCTTCGAAAAGCCAAACTTCTGGGAAATATTGTCGAAGTACAGGACTCAAATCCACTTCCCTTCGGAATAAAGCAGGAGTGGAATCGTCAAGCCATGTTCTGTTACCTGCTAGAAAACCTGCGCTTCTCCATTGCACTTGAACAGAAGCCAATTTAACTGTAACACCATCTCTATCGACATCACAACCACGTCCAGTTTTCCGGTCACATACCTTACTTATGGCTAAAACGATCGTCTTAGCTGAAGAGATCTTTCCATGGTAATTTGCAGTTTTAAGTTAAAATATGGTCAATTAGCATAAAATAATAAGACTGTAAATCACAGTTTATCAATTAGTATGGCATGATTTGTGAATAAAAAACTAATTTAATCTAATTTCCACAATAATTCTCCAAACCAATTCCATAACAATTTTATTAACTTGTTCGGCCAGTTAGACGTTCACATGCCAAAATGAAGGAACGTAAACAAAGATTCGAAACAGCTGATGATGAATCCATAAAATTTGGGCAGCGTTTCAGGTGCTGTAACATGAGGACACCCGCTTCCTCACATGTTTCTCCTGCAACATTTCCTATCACTTACGAGCTTCCAAAAAAGGATTTAATCATTTCATAAATTTTGTTTCAAAACTAATGAAATGATGATTCAAGCAGATTATTGTTTCAGAACAAAAAAAAGTTTGGGATATTTCTATTATCAGAGGTACTCGATCTAACTTATTATCTAACTTCCCATAAATGATACGCCACCATTTCAACTAAATTTTTGAACATTTTGAATGCTTACCGATTTCGCTGCTTAGTTTCTTTGAATCAATGAGACCAAGAAATAATGTTCGTGAGGAACGTTCCGTCATTGACAAGTCCCAGTATTTGGATGTTGGACGTGATGAATATTTCTGCAAAAAATGAACATTTTTTCCTAAAAATTCATTAGCTTACTGAACTTATTGAACTTCAAACTAATTTCATAGAATAACCTGCATAAGTTCAAGCATTCGTATATCGACTGCTGATAATAAGGCGAGACCATTGGAACCACCATTTATTGTTACCGTCAAGTTGTCATTTACTCCAGCTAGTGTTTTAGAAACTGCTAAGGAACTCTAAAATCTTCGAAATTAAGATAACAATAAAAAAATCTTGCTTCAAAGAGGGATCATTAGTCTTCTAAGAAGCAGACTTACAAAATCAAGTTAAAGAGAAAGGGATGGACTGAAAAATTCAGTCACTCAAATATTTCTTCCTGACAGAAGCTTAAATATAGCATCGCACTATGCGCAGAAGAAGTTTCTTCACAATTCTTTCGAAGCACCAAACCTTGCACGAAAGTTCAACAAAGAAGAGAATCATATCTATTTGCACAGTTCCATTTGAGCTAAATACATTAAGTGTACAATATGGTATCATAGCATCTGTCGTTTCAAATATTATTTCACCATCGTCACGAACACGACCGGCTTCTGTGATCGTTTCATCCTGGCATATGACCTTAATTTATAAACGCTTTAGACTCTTGTTTAGTGCGACTTATTTTATGACATCAAGCTTCATTTTCGTATCTCAAATTGCTGTGCATGATCAATTATATTCCTTAAATTTTTTTTTTTTTTGTATTACACAAACAGATAGGCATTTAGCACAAGAACTGCGCAATTAAATGAGATCACTGAGAATTCTAGATTCAAGCACCAAAAATTTCTGCAGGATTATTCCGGATTAAACGGAAAGGATCAATTAAGTAGAGCAAGCAAGTAGAACTGAGGCGGATATCTGAGAACTTCTAGTTGAGCCAAGTCTTGCACCTATTAATAGCAATGTGAAATGGTGAATTCAAACCAAATAATTCAATTTTGATGCCAAATGCAATGGCACCGAAGCTCGGAATTTTTCTCCAACTCGATAAGTTGCATTGTTGGGAAGTGACCAATGGATCCAACCATATTGTATCCATTTTGAATGATCTGCCGACGGTAGCACCAAAATGATAGGACGCGAGAAACGTCCACCAATTTTACGACGAGCCTAAACGGTTTATATAATAAAGACAAAAACAGTAAGTTGCAAAGTATACCTTCCCGTTCTACTACAAAACTAGTTAAACGGAAGGCAAGGAAATGACTAAAGAGATGGATAGGAGCGTTTTTCTCCAACAAAACTCCATTACTTTCTTGCTTTCAGAATTCATCTATCAAAATATGACTGATATTTGCCTCTCTTCCTCTCTTTCTCTCTGAAAAAAGGAGGAAAAGACAAAAGATTTGAAACTATTACAATATTACTGTAATGATTGAAAGGAAACTGTAATAAATAATACGCCAGAATAACTGTCCAACTATAAATGTTTGAAGTTAACGGTAATTTTCTCGACATTGTGTGGGAAGGTGAATGTGCTCACGATAGAAAATTACATGCATAATCAAAGTTCCACAAAAATGACTTAAGTTCACAGTTCCGTTGAATCTAGTTCAGATTTCAGTGAGTTAATTTGCATATATGTGTCATACCCTGCGACTTCATTTTCATTTTTCTATTTTGCTTACTCGAACGAAATTTTTAGTCGCATGCAAAATTCCTTAAAAATTCATTAAAGTGTTTCTTTTGGAACAATTCCTAACGAAATCAGAACTTTTGCGTTACAAAATGAAAATTCCGTTAATTTTTTGCATTATATGCTAATTCTGAAATCTATTTTCTCCAAATATTTTCTAGTCATTTGTAATGAGAAAGTTAAGACAATGGCTCAAAAGGTCTTAAGGTTATCTTCTAACTCTGTTTTAACCAAAGTTTTTCTATTTCCACGTCATTATCAAAAAAATCAGAAACCATACAAATCTCTCCAGAATTGAACATCTTGAAATAGTTCTTTCCTTTTTTATTATACTAATTCCCTTTTTTATCTAAATGAATTTCATTGTGCATCCTTTCGTGTTGAAATTTCAGTAGAAGCAGATTTTCCAATTCCTATTTCAAGAGAAGAGATGACCTGTATAAGTATCACTCGACAACTGTGTTCATACAGATTGGATGAAAATGGTATAGTTAGAAGAAATCCAATTCTTCCCTTATAGCTTCTCAAATTCAGAGTTTGTCTTTTATCAGTGGAAATGCATCGAACATTAATTTCTACCTCTTGCATCCTCACCGAAGGTCCACCGGTTGATTTTATCTGTAACATATTCTTGTATCATTTTTTGAACTCACTTAAAAGTAACTTACACTGGGATATTTATCAATTTCTTATATTACAACCTTTTTATCTCAATTTCTTCTCTCTTATAACAACTGTTAGACCTTATTTTCGATGTTTTGAAGCCGTATGTGAAGTTATAGTTAATCGAAGAATATCAGACTAATTTAACTTGTACTAACTGATTATGACTTGTCACTTCTTGATTATTTCTTCAAAAACGAGTCAGTATACACAAAAAGAGTGAAAAGTAAATCCGTTTGGATGAAAGTTGACCTGATGTTTGTATTTATCTTTTAACCGCTCACCAATATTGATATGTTTGAAGAACCGCGATAATATCCAGGTCTTAGAGGAATGAGTTCGAAGCCCGCAAAGATATTATCAATTTCCACATTACTTTTAATTCGATTGCCTGTTCCCTGATCTAACACTTCTGCTGTAAGTTTGGCCAAACTTCTTGATGGAGCAGTCACAGCGCTTCCACTACACTGAGCAATGTTTACACGATCAGACCAGTGACCTGAATTTATCTGAAAACATGAATTTAAACTCAATTAAATTTTAGTGCATTGTTGTTGCATTCCCCACCTATTTTGCATGTTTCTTAAAAATAATTGTCAATTCAAAGCAATGGCTTGGAAAAATCACTAATACTTCGATGTTCCTGGGAATGGACTGATTTCTGACCAAGGAAATCATCATCGACTGATAAATTCTTATATCGTCACCATTTTATATTAGTTCTCCACCTTCCATTCTTTTCCAAAGAGGTTGTTGAATAAGTTAATAATCCTTCCCATGAATATCATTCTCCTTTTGTAAAATAAATAATGATAGAATTAATATCCTGCTGCCTCATTCTCTTAATTTATTTTAAAGTTCTCTTCGAATTCAAAGTAGTTCTCAACATCTTCCCAGAAAGAGTCCGATAGTATCCAAAGCATACTAAAATTTTTGTCCTTAATCAGGCTAATCATTCATTACTATTATCAAGATGATGAAATGTGCTGTTAAAGCTGTAGGACCAGTGCTCCATAGCTCTCCATAACTTTTAATGGTAAGAACTTTAAATGAATGCAATGGAAAAAAGAGTACGAGAAGAAACTACAAATTACAATCTCTAAATCACTAAACAACAGTGATAAAAAACGACTTATATCAGTAACAATGAAAACGGCCTGATTTAGTTGTTAATTTTAATTTCATTTGAAAGATGGAAATTAAGAGATAATAAGACTATAAGAGATAACAAGGAGAGAATTTCTCTAAGAATCAATTTATCTTGAAAATTAATCATTCGAATAATAATCCATTCATTTTGCCTCCGTGTTTAATATATTTTTACGATTTTTTATTCAGTTCAAATTGGAAGTGTACCTTCTCAAATGAAGATATCTCAACTATTATTCAGTGCGTAGAAAGTCATGCGGAGTTGACTTTTCATTTTAGGTAAATGTTTCATTACTCGTGATAGATATATAAGTTTCAACCGAGAAATGCAAACTGTGGTGTTTTATATTTCTCTGATCTATTGCAGCTTCTTAACAGAAATATGACAAGTCTATGTAGAAAATAAAGAACCGCTATCTAAAGAAAATGTAAAATAAAAAGTTGAATGCAAATCGAATTCGTTCTCCTATCAATTCATCGTATTTTTATAAATTTTTTTCTTAAAGAGTGTATGGAAGAGAATTAAAAATGATTTTGAAACTGCAGCAGTAGTAGTCGGTCAGCTTCTTTAATCTGCTTTTGACAATAAAATTTATCAGCTCTCGATGCAGTAAGTATTATAAGTACTTCACAGATTTTCTCTAAGAGATTTTTGTACTCGCCTTTCAACATTGCACTATCAATTTGATTTGTTCCAAAAAAGCACTTTCCAGATGAATTATTACAGATGGAATAAGTCTAAATATTTACAACTGAGCAACAAAAAAAAAAAAAAAAAAACAATATATAAAGCGTACTTAAAT